TCCCTGCTCCACTAGTAGATTGGCTCTGTCAGATAGATTCTTTATTACGTTTGTTTCTGAGCGTTAAGTCAGGGGGCAGCTTTCTCACTCATGTTACATACGATGGTCCTCAGGTGACGAAGTTAGTTTCCCGTACTCACCAGAAAAGTATTGTCTACGTACTCCAGGTGAGTATAATATGTAGTCAGACATCTTGAACTGAGAGTCCCTCTAGAATATGATCTTCGTAATTGTCAGTGAACACTCTTTTGGAGGAGAAACTCGTGAACAGTGATGATTAAAAAGGACGAAAGCACATCTATCCCGAACTCTACAGTTAGTGGGGAACCTTTAACTTATTGTAGTGCTCATTTTCGATTTATATGCTGTTTTCAAAAGACGAGGTCCTAGTTGATAGCGTTGTGACGGAGATCAGCGCCAAGCCCTTGAAAAAATTGTGCCACAAACGATATTCGTAATGCGAGCTTTAGGAAACGGGCATCCAAGTGACATATGCTTTCCGTGTTCTCATGGTCATATTAATTTCTCCTATCGAACAACACGAACATTTGACACAATGGGATAACATTTGTAGTAATGCAATATGAAGTCTCTTTTAATACACAGCAGAGCGAACTACATAGATGTTAATACATAGCGGATAATCCAAAACGAAGGACAGTGGCAGATAGAAGTTAGCTCTACGCCTTAGATGTGCGAGGTTCGAATTCCAGCTGCGTTTAAAATTCTTTTGTTGTCTGATAATTCTCGTGAACATTGAATCTTCCCCAATGGAACTAGGCGAAAAACGGGCGGAAAGTCGTTCGCCTGCAAACAGTAACGACAACGTGGTATTCGGGTGGTGATGCCGGAGTGTGCGGGATGTTTGATGATGCATTTTGATTCGCGCCCTTTACAGGTGCAGTTCACTTGACTTATATGATAGCTGACTAAAACTCAGCATATGGTATGTACAGTAAATTGTACCATTTAAATTAAATCAAAAGTTTTGTTGACGCCGTAATTTGCACTTTTTTGATATCAAGCGTTAAGCCCTTGTGACAAAATATCAGTGCTGTGAAGTTTCAGTTTTCCATTGATACACGCTATCCTCTAATGGAATGTTGAAAAAATTTCCACTGATCACTTCAGATATAATGCGGACGATGACTGTCACCCATCTTTCTAAGATTCGTTCTTGTCTTGGACAGCCTGAAATTGCGCTGAACGAATTTTTTGAAGTTGCTTTGCAAAAATGCAGGATAGTCGAAATATCGGCCATGGCTGATGGTAGGATTTGGGACATAGAGATCACTGTGCTTTGATTTAGCGTTATTGGAGCTAAAGATTCAAGTTTTTGGTCGCTTCTAATCCAGGAAAGAGGTGTAGAAGGAAATAGGAAGGTTTGTAACCGTTGAATTGTCGATTTCACTTAACGTCTTTATGATGGAGCCATTTGTAGCGCCCTTCTTTTCATGAAGTTGGTGGCAAGGCGCTGATTTTCATTTCCGTTTCATCAGCCAGGAGGGCCATATTTTAAAGACAGGGTCGAAAGCAACTCTGTGGCAAGTTATGTGTAATCTCCTGTTTCTTTCCCGCAGGATGTGATCAGCCTGATCACACTTATCAGTGATCAGCCTTAAAAAGATCACTGATCAGCCTTAAACAGAAAACATGCGAGCGAACCGACCGGGGCTGGAACCGGGATCTTTCCGTTCTGAATCCAACACTTTACCGACTGAGCAGCTCTAGTCTTGGCCCAATACTCAATACAGATGGTGTAGTGGCAAATATCTTAGTCATCGGCCAGAAAGAACAGTCATCTTTATCATCTTTGGAAATGATTCCTGGATCGCGGAATTATCCTTTGTTCCTGGCGCGTTATTATAATTATCTTCGCTTCAAAGTGCCTTCTATTCAGTCTCAGTATCATCGTTCCGTCGCGTTCCTTTGTTTCATACACAAATATCTCGAATATTAAATTCGTTCAAAGATTCATTTCGGCTTGCTTTAACATAATCACGAACATTCTGTTCGAAATAATCTATTTAAAATGTAATAGTACCTGCTGAGCGAATTCAAATCAGAGAATCGACAGAAATTGGAATGCTGACCTGATTGTCAACTCCTCATTAAACTGCTCTCGCTCTTTGCTTGGAATAATCATCGT